GCTGAAATACACCAGTTCCCCAAGCCAACCCCCTCCTGTCTGATCTATTGCTTGGGTCCAAAGACCCTGGAGTTCTGCTGAATTAGCACTGCCTTCAATTAATGCTGGCCCGCCACCATGAGAATTTATGTTGCTCCCCAGACCACTCAATCAATGCTGGGCAGCCTCTGTCCCCACCAAATCAGTTTATGACCAAAGTCCTCTGCCAGAATGGTGGGGGACTGAGGTTTTCCTTCTCCTGGAACAAACCCCATGCCATCCTAAAACAGAGAGCTGCAAAATAAGAAGCAGGGAGGCACTAGACAGTTTGACAACCACCAGCAGCAGGCCCCATCTACCAGAGTATTGAGAACTTGTATGAACAGAATCCTCGCTAGCATCTCCTTCCAACACAGGGATGTGTGTGTTGGGATTCCTGCCAACAGCTGCCAAGGACTGGGGGGGGGGGAAAGGGAGAGAAAGAAGAGCCCACAATTTTTGGCCAGATTGAGATTAAAGTTAATGATTGGACAACTATGAAATCTAACCTAGGGGATGTGCTGGATCTTCCATAATTTGAAGTCCTTAGATCAAACTGGATTTCTTTCTAAAGATATGCCCTAGATCAAATAGACATTATGAGCTTGATACAAATGTTGCTGAGTATGCTATCCAGGAGGTCAGACTAGCTCATAGTGATTACTTGGGGCCTTATCTACAAATTTATGAGACATCAGAATGATATGCAAAAATGCAGGTCTGGACAAGGAGATAGGACAAGGAGAGGCAGTTGTGAGTCAGCAGCATAAAGGAGATAGTCAAAGTCATAAAATATCTAACGAAAAAAGGTGACCAACAACAAAGCCTTGTGTGACCTCCACCAAAATTTGGAGAGGAGACTAAGAGGAGGACCCTCCAATGAAACACTAGAGGCAGAGTAACACAGGAGGATAACCACAAAAGTCAAGAGCAAACAAAATTTCAAGAGCAATAAATTAGACAGCAATGAAGTCAGACAACTGGTCAAGAAAAATGAGCGAGGAAAACCTTGACAAATCTCATGGCTTGAAGTGCATCACTAAAGACTCTGGTGAGAGTAGGAGCTTTGTATTCTGGAGGCTTTTTTTTCAAATCTCCTCCCTCTAAAGCATCAGGGATGGTCATAACTGGAGATGGGCCAGTGGACAGGGTGGGCTGTGCTCGGAGGTGTACTGAACATTCTCTCTCAGGTAATTAGCTGGATGGTTCTTGCTCACTTGATCAGGATCTAACAGTTGACCATATGAAGGAATTCTCTCTCAGGTGAGACTGGCAATGGCCTTGCAGGTTTTTCCACCTTCCTCGGCAGCGTGTGGATGTGGGTCACTTGACAGGATTATCTGGCCATCTCAATCATTTCCCTGCCACTGTAGGGGCCTCAGACATTAGGACAGACTAAGACGCAGCTCTCTATGGTACATAGTAGTCTAGGCTCCTATGGGCTGTAATCACAGAATATCAGGGTTGGAAGGGACCTCAGGAGGTCATCTAATCAACCCCCTTGCTCAAAGCAGGACGAATCCCCAACTATTTTGGTTTAACTTCGATTGTTGGGTTTAGTGGGTGTATGCAGGGAGGTGTTAATGGCCTGTGACATAAAGGTCAGATTACACAATCTGGTGGTCCCGCCAGGTCTTAAACTCTATATTAGAGTTTAGTGGGCAGAAGCATGACTGGTGAGGGTCTATGACGGAAACAGAAGAAAAGAACCCCACGCAGTGACTGCAAGGGACAGCGAGTTCAGAGATGTAGGGGGAAGAGATTGGACAATCATTTGAAGGTGATATGGGATTAAGGTGGGCTTCTTTTTTCCCACTTTATATTTTAAAATTGGGGAGACCAAATCACGTTTGTAATGAGCATGGAAAGAACCAAAGTATTTGTTGGCGGGGCGGGGGGAGAGGAGGGTGAGATAAGACAAAAAGGGCTGGGGATTCTGGAGCAGGTGGAGGAGGAAAGCAAACAAAAGTCTCAGTGAGAAGCAGAATATGCTAGGGGCTGACGGAGGAGATCATGCTGGATTTTAATCAGTGTTTCCTTTGTCGGTGGGAGACATCCAATTTTTTAAAAAAAGGAAAACTGACTGCATTTGTATAACATTTCAATACTGTTATCCTCAAGAGGGGATACCAAAAAGGTTAGTAATGCCTTCCTCTAATTGTTCAAACACATTCTACAGTCTCAAAAAACAGCAGTTTATAAATCTCCAATTTTCCAAATTAGATTTTATGTATATTCCATGTAAGATCTATGACCAAGTCACAACTGTCAAACAACAAGACATTGTATAATGAAGACATTTGTGCAGGCTTATCTACTGTAAGTCTTGTAGTGGCTACTGTACTTGGAATAAGATTTACTGATCAGGGAAAAGTTACCAGTAGCTTCCACATTTCAACTCTTAAATTTGAAAATGTGGCTTTTAAAAATTAATCTGGAACACAGCTTAATAAAAGTATTACAACATGCTATAAATATAGTTACCCACATGTCAGGGGCTTAACACAAGCTTTAGACAGGCTGTTAAAAGTTGTTAAGCTGCGTAGGCAGTCAATAAGAATGTTAGTTATGGCTGCAACTATCACTTTCGATATCCCAAGTGACTTGAGCGTAGTCCATTAGGCAGAAGGAACACGAGCTAAGTAATTATGGTTGCTTGTCTGCTATCATGAATAAAAGTCATTATGAGATTTGGCAGCCCAAAAAACATAACTAAAACCATTTACATACGTGTTATACAGTCTTAACTATTTACAAAGCATTGCATTCTGCAATCAGATCTAGTGGCTGGGTCTGTTAAAAAACTGATTTTTCCCTCCCTTACAGTGATGTCAAATTAGAGTGATAAACAGCCTCTGGGTCAGTATTGCTAGGGGGTTAATGCCTTTCTCTAAGTTTTATTTATTGCTTTACGAGTAAAGTACTTGAGGATACAACTGTTAAGTTTTAGTTCGATCCCATATGTTTTACAAACTTTAGTTTCCTGTAGCTCGTAAGTGGGATCTAGATAATTAAGTTTTTGTGCTACAAACAAATACAAGAGATAGCAAAAGATAAGTTTTCTAACTCAGCTGAACTGAGGTGCTGCACGACAATGCCAGGAAAGAGCTTTCTCCTTACCTTGATTTCTACATTTCTTGTTTTTAAGTTAAATCTGATTTGAAGATGCAGGTGTTCTACAATAGGTGTGAATATTTTCATCCAGTTTTCTTTCAAAGGAGTATATCTGTTTGCTGGTACAGGAATTTTCCTCATTTCATCTTTTCCATTCTAGAAAGAAAAAAAAGTTTAAGCAGCACTAGCCACCACTATGATCATTCTTGCCAAAAGACAGCCTATCAGAGTGCTCAATCATCAAATCATGCTTTTGCCTTGAAGTCACTATAACAATGAAAGAAAAAAGTGGTAGAGAAAAATATCAGGGAATCCAAAATTTATACTGCCAGAGCACTGAAAGAAGTTTTATAGCAATATTTTACTTATGATGGATGAGATTAAATATTAGTATTTATCGGGAAGAGGCAATGCCAAGGAACTGGAGAGTTATTATCAAGTCCTTCAACTTTTAAAAGTCTGAAACTTCTTGCTGCAAATGTTTCCCCATCTACGCCTGCTTAGTTTCCAAACAGTGTTCTTCAGCTCCAAGTTAACAAGCTCATCTTCACTGGGGAAAAAGTGTGTGTGGAGATTAAACTTACTATATAGCTAAAGGGACACAGTCCACTAAAAAGTCACACTTCTATCTAAAAGTGTTTGTCTATCATTCCTAATATTACTTTAGCTGAATGATAAAACGTTTGCTTTTTTCTAGTTTGTTTACTTTTTGCATCAGACAGCACACTACTTACTGGTCTCATTGTTTCCCCTGTATAGTCAAGGTCTCATGTTTGTGAGCAGAAACAAAGGAAACAAACCATTACAAAGGTATATAGCCGCAAAACCACAGAAGTTTGCCGGTGGACTCAAGACCGGATCTAGTACCTACAACTACTTTTTTCTGTCTTTTTTTAAAGCTGATTGGCTTTCAAGTTAACAACGCCCCTTTAACAGGACCGCTTCTGCCGGCAGGGAGGTGAAATCTAACAAGGTCTCAACCATCTCCCCCCTGCCACACACACACACACACAGCGCCCTTATTTACCTTGCAAAAACAGCAGCACCAGGGCGACAGGGCACCGCTCAAACCTACTTCACTAATGTTTTAACCGGGTCCCAACCCCGCTACAACCCGGAGCGCTGCGCTGCCACACGGCTGGAGGACACAGCGGCGTGTCACTCTAGGAGCTCAGCCTACGGGCTCTGCACCAACAGGCCGGGGCCCTCGGCACGGCGGGGGCACGGGGGAGCTTTGTCCCCCGCAGCAGCCGGCTCGCTGACAGCGAACGGGAACTCAGTGGCAACGGAACGGGCAGCGCGGGGGCTCCGGTCAGCGGCTGACTCCGCCCGGCTGATTCTAGCTAGACGGGCAGGGCCTGTCCCCGCCACAGCACCCCCGGAGACCAGACCGGGGCCCAGCACGTCCCGGCTCACCCTGAGCGCGTCCCCGGAGACGGGCGGGAAGTTGGGCCTCTTGCTGGGCCGGGGCTGCCCCGTGTCCATGCGGCTCCCGCCGCCCCCATCCAGCTCGGCCGCCCGCCGCTTCCGTTTGCTCCGCTTGGGGACCCTGATGAAGCCCCCGGCCTCCGTCGCGCTCTGGGTCTCCGGGGTCGCGCCGGGGGAGCCCCTCCCGGCCCCTTCCTCCGCGGGCTCCTCCATGCAACACTTCACACGTGCGGGCGGAGCCGGGCTAAGGGCTGACGCAGTCCGGAACCGCAGAGACGTCACTTCCGTCCTCAGGCCCCCATCACGGAACTCCCAGGAGCCCTCCGTGATGCCTGACCAGGAGGGTGCGCTGAGCCCCGGATGTGACCGTTGGGCCTGCGCACCTGGCATGTGTGTAGTCGCCACAAGCCGCGGCGGTTGGGGCGGCGCCGGCGCGCAGTATGTCGGGCGCGGGGCTGGAGAAGCCGCAGCTGATCACGCACGTGCAGCAGTCGCTGAACTACACCGTGTTCGAGTGCAAATGGGTCCCGTGCAGCGCGCGCCTCCTCTGCCTCGGCAGCGTCCCGCGCGGCACCGGCGTCATCCAGCTCTACGAGCTGCAGAGCGGCCGCCTCAGCCTGCTGCGCGAGGTGAGTGTCCGGCCGGCCCGGGGCCGCCCACACACTGACAGCCCCCGCCCCGCGTCTGTGTCTCTGCTGCTCTCAGGCCCATGGCTCTCTTATGGGCCCTTCTTTGTGTCCCCGTCCCCCGCCCCGTGAGTTGCTCTCTGTCCCGGCGGCTGTCCGCAGGCCCCAGGGCAATCCTGCGCCTCCAGCACACAAGGCCGCGGCTCCGTGAGGCGTGGTTGCTATAGCAACGCGGGGGCACGCGCCAGCCCTGCGTGGAGTCCGCTGCGGAGCACAAGCCTGTGGCGACACCGGCCCGTCAGCCATCCCGGCCCCGTGCCGCGTGGAAGCACAAAACTATCCCCTGACTTTTTAAAATGGCCCCACCATGTAGACGTGGCCACTGCAAAACTGCAGAGAATGGGCCCACTTGTCTCTCCCCTCTGGCACAGCGCTGCAGTCAAGGGTGTGAAAAAACACCCCCCTGTGTGCTGCATGGTGCCAGTGTATACACTGCACCAGCTCTGGGAGCTGTTCCCCTCCTCGAGGTGGGTTTTTTATAGCGCTGGGAGAGCTTTCTCCTAGTACTCTGCCACGACTACACAGCCACGTTAAAGCACTGCTGCAGCCAGCACTTTAATGTTGCTAGTGAAGACATGCCCTCAATCTCAGATGACCCCAAAGTCAGCTGGTAAAACATATGTAGCAGTGAAATGCAGTCATCACTGGAGTGAAGGGCGGCAATCAAATTGCACACAGGATGCTTCTAAATGTGGATGGGGGAGGAAGGAGAACATTGCCAAGGTAAAAATGTAAACAATAACCTTTCAGGCCAACTTTGTGTCATAAAAAAGAACATAAACCCAATTAAAAAAACAAACTTTTAAGGGCATCTTTAAAATGCATCTATGTCAGTGACAGGTATTACATTGATATTTCCTAGAAACTGGTTAGCTTCATTTCTCACTTTGTGCTGCTGCCACAACAGCATACAAGCTATATGCATTGTGGGAGGGTGTGAAGAGATGGTGAAGGAGTGGTACCACTGAGGCTCTTTTAAAATAGGTTTAAAATTTTCTTCCAAGCAACTTCAATGGCATTTAAATATCCTAGCTGTATTGTATAGAGTTCTTTTCTCCCCTCCCCCCCATTAAACGTAATACATTAGAAATGTGAAAGGAACGTTTTAATTTTTCTCCTTATCTTTTAAAAATTAGTCTGACTTCTTGCTGTTCAACTCAGGATGGCAAAAACCTTCTGTCTGTAACTTTTTTTTTCTTGATTTGAGGCAAAATATTTGTTGTTGTTGTAATTAGAGTAGTACCTTCTTGCTGCATTTGGGGATCTCAAGGATTTTAACACACACCTTGCAGTAATGCTGGCTGCTAATTTGCTTTCTAAAATCAGCTCAGGTAGCTTTTTCTGCTGTATGTATATATGACTGTGTTATCCAGTGCACTGTTCCTAATCGAGATTTTACAAATCAGACTGTACTTTATTTGGATTTTAGACCAGGATGTGCTGCCAAAATTTTAACAAGAGCTCATATATTTCCACTTCAGCCATGTCACCTCCATACAAGAAAAAACAATCCATAGTCCTCCCTTACCCCCAAACTATAATATGCATCCTCCAGCCCAGTACTCTTTGACCTTAAATGCTTCTCACTAACTCGCTGAGGTTCCTCTGACTGGGTCCTCTACCTGTCATCTTTTCTGTTCATCAGTTGTGGGGGTGAGAGGGAAATGCCACCTCCTCTCTAAATCAATTTCTCTCCATTACTGTCTCACAACTGTGCACATAGCCAGGCTAATGATTTTGGGAATGTTATTGGGAACATACCCACATTTATCTGCTCCTCGTTAAAAGGAATTGGGGTGACTGGGCATCGTTAGGTTTCAACAGCCTCCTGTTATGGAGATGTAGCCTAGTTACACTGTTGCCTGCTCTCATGTTGGGAGGGTGCGATTTAAAGCTCCAGCTCCTGGATTCATGTGATTGTGGGAATCTCATCTTTAATTTAAAAACAACAACAAAATTCCTAGTGCTCTGGCTGTGGAGAAAAGTTTCAAAATGTGACCCTGAGTGCTTAAAACCCAGAGGGCAAATAAAAATAATTAAAATTTTTTTTAAATCTCATCATTTTGGGAGTCTAATTCATGATTTTTGATCCATTGAGCTTTAATAATCTTTTCGCATCAGTTTATTTTAGTTAGACTTGAAAATGATATCTTTTCAAGTAAAATTCTCAAAACTTACTGTTTGTTTTAAAGGAATGCCGAAATTTTCCTTCATAAGGTCCACTGTTTGGCCATATAACTAAGGACTTTCATGAGTCCTCTCCACGTTGAGTGGTTGTAGGTATTCAGTCAGTAGCTACATGTATACATTGTTGATGATACTAGTTATACAAGGTTTCATCAATTTTAGGCACCATGATGTCTTTTTTAGGTGCATAGACTACTACATGGAGCAGCTGTTTTTTAAATTGAAGTAACCTTTGAGGATTTACTAATCTGCAGTAACAATAGTGCCTCAGTTGTATAAAGCGAGTTTAAGATCTACAGGGACAATAGTATATAAACTTTCTCAATTTATAGGGTTCTGTAGGGATGCAAAATAGAAGGCACACAAACAGTGTTGCTCCAGACTAATAGAAAGAATGGCTTAATTATCTCTTATGTTCATGCTAGCAGATCTCTGAGAAGAGCTAAAATTCCCTCTGCTATATATTTGCAAATCAGTAGAGACAACATCCTTTGAGTATCATTAGTGAGAGGGGTAGAGAGAAGGAGAATGAGTGATTATTTTGTTAGAAGCTCATTAAAATCAAATCCACACTATGCAGTGATATGAAATTTTAAAATCATAGAATAAACTGAAGTGTGGTATACCTTTGTCAAATAATATTTCATTTGCATTTCATACTAAATATCTTATTGAAAGTTCACTGAAGCCTGCTAGTAGTGTGGCTTTCAAGCAGCTGCTTATCCATTGTGTGGTTTCGTTGAGATTTTTTTAATATGCTGACAAAAAATTTACTCTTTTTAGATTGAAAAGGCCAAACCTATTAAATGTGGAACTTTTGGTGCTACATCTCTACAGCAGAGATATCTAGCTACTGGGGACTTTGGTGGAAACCTTAATATATGGTAAGAATACTAGCTTCTCTCAGGATACCCCTTACTGTACATGATATACTTGAACTCACAGTTCGGGCCTATTGTATTTGCCCTGTTTTTGTGTGTTTATCTGTTTTATAGTTGTGCCTAGGGACCCCAGTCATGGATCAGATCCCCTTGAGTGCTAGGCACTGCATATACACTCAGACAGAGACAATCTCAGTCTGAAGAGTTTACATCCTAAGTAAAACTATTGAACAAAATTAAGACAAAACACAATATTGTCGATTCATTTAAATCTTCTATCTCCAGGTAGCAGAAAGCTGTTCCTATTCCTAAAGGTTCCTCTTGTGGAAAAAGAACAGAAGTACTTGTGGCACCTTAGAGACTAACAAATTTATTTGAGCGTAAGCTTTCGTGGGCTACAGCCCACTTCATCAGATGCATATAGTGGAAAATACAGTAGGAAGATGTATATATACACAGAGAACATGAAACAATGGGTGTTACCATACACACGATAAGGAGAGTGATCAGTTAAGGTGATCTTTTATCAGCAGGAGAGAAAAAGAACTGTTTGTAGTGGTAATGAAAATGGCCCAAAGTAAAACTATTTCCCCATGCTTATTTTCCACCCCCCTACAGTTCCTCATATCTCCTTGTCAATTGCTGGAAATGGGCCATTTTCA